GGGGAGGGATGGGGAGGGAGGGAGGGAGGGAGGGAGGAAGGGAGGAGGGAGGGAGGGAGAGAGGGAGGGGGAAGGGGGTAGAGGTGCGGAAGGAAGGTTGGTGTGTTTGCGTCGAAATGCTGTTGCTGTTTTAGAGTTTTGTTTTTACTTAGTCTTTTATCTTTATCTTTATTGGGAAGAATGCCTCTCAACCTCGTCGTCTCTCACTATCACCTCTTTCTCATTCTCTCATTCCTTCTTCCTCTCTCATCTTTCTCTTCACTATCACCTCTTTCTCACTCTCACCCTCTTCCTCTTCCTCTATCTCACTATTACCTCTTTCTCACTCTCATCTCCCTTTTCTCTCCCACTATCACTCTCACACTCTTCTCTCTCACTCTCTCCCCTCTCCCTCACAACACCTCTCACCTCACCCCCCACTATATCCTCTTCATCACTCTCCTCTCCTCACTTCACCTTCTTTCACTCTCCTCCCTAACATCACCTCTCTCACTCTCCTCACTATATCTTCCTCAACTCTCCTCCCTCACTATCACCTCTTTCTCACTCTCCCCCCCCCCCCCCCCCCCCCCTCCCTCCCCTCCCCCCTCCCTCCTCCCCCCCCCTCTCTATCCCCTCCCCCTTCTCTCCCTCTGCACCCCCTCCCCGTACTGCCCCCTCCTCTCCCCCCCCCTCCCTCCCCTCCCTCCCTTTCCTCCTCACCCCCCCCTCCCCATCCTCTCCTCCCCCCCCATCCTCCTCTCCCCCCTCCCTCCTCCCCCTCCCCCACCCGCCTCCACCCCCTCCCTGCTCCCCCCCCCCCACCCTCCCTCCCCGTTCTCCGCCCTTCCCCCCTCCCCTCCCCCCCCCCCCCTCCTCCATCGCCCGCCCCCCCCCCCCCCCCCCCCCCTCTCTCCCCCCCTGCTCCAACTCTCCATCCCCCCTCCCCTCCCCTACCCCTACCCCACCCCCCCCCTCGCCTCCCCCCCGCCTCCCTCCCGCCATCTCCCCTTCCTGTCCTCGTATCTCCCTTCTCCTCCTGCTCCCCCCCCCCTGCCACCCCCCCCTCACTCTCCCCCTTCTTCCTCTCCCGCTGTCCTCTGCCTCCCCCACTATCACCTCGTTCGCCTATCCCTCTCCTTACCATCAGCCTTTCCTCCTCCTTCTCCTCACCTATCACCTCTTTTCTCACTCTCAGACGCCCTCGCTCTCACCCCGTTCCTTCCCTTCATCTTTAGTCTGGCCTTTCTCCTCCTCAAGGTAATGCCTCTACAGCGGGGAAACCTCTTCTCCGTGTTTGCTCCTCTTGTCTTTATTCTTCCTCTTTTCACTCCTTTTTTTATCGTTTATTCCCCATTTCTCCTTGTCTTTTATCTTGAAGGGGGTATTCCAAATATTTTGAGAATAGTATCTGTTTAGGGTGGGTTAGGGAGAGGAAGTGGATAGGGAGAGGAAGAGGAGAGGAGGAGGGAGTGGGAGAGGGAAGGCAGAAGAGGGAGTGGGGAAGAGAGAGGATGGAGAGAGGGAGAGGGAGAAGAAGTGGGAAAACGAAAAGGAGATGGGAGAGAAGCAGTGGGAGAGGGAGAGGGAGAGGATGGAGAGAGGGAGAGGGAGTGGGAGTGGGAGAGAATGGAGAGAGGGAGAGGTTGGAGATAGGGAGAGGGAGATGGATAGGGAGAGGATGGAGAGAGGGAGAAGGAGAAGAAAGGAAAAACGACAGGAAATGAGAAGAGAGGGAAAAGAGAGGGAGAGAGGGAGAGAGGGAGAGAGAGAAGAGAGGGGAGAGAGAGGAGAGACGAAAGAGGGAAGAGAGAGAAGAGGGAGAGAGAGAGAGAGAGAGAGAGAGAGAGGAGAGAGAAGAGAGAGGGAGAGAGGGAGAGAGGGAGAGAGGGAAGAGAGGAGACGAGAGGCGAGAGGGAGAGGGGAGAGAGGGAGAGGAGAGGGAGAGAGAGAGAGAGAAGAGAGAGAGAGAGAGAGAGAGAGAGAGAGAGAGAGAGAGAGAGAGAGAGAGAGAGAGGAGAGAGAGAGAAGAGAGAGAGAGAGAGAGAGAGAGAGAGAGGGAGAGAGAGGAGAGAGAGAGAGAGAGAGAGAGAGAGAGATAGAGAGTAGGCGAGAGGTGGAGAAGGATGAGAGAGAGAAGAAGAGAAGAGAGAGAGAGAGAGGAGAGAGAGAGAGAGAGAAGAGAGAGAGAGGAGAGAGAGAGAGAGAGAGAGAGAGAGGAGAAAGGGAAAGAAGAGACGAGGGCGCGAAGAGTGCCAAATCCTCACCTGGCGTATTTTGGTCATGATTAAGGTGAGGAGATGACAGTGCCACAGTGCCATGGTGCCACTCTGCCCTTTCCTTGCCTTCCTTTCAATTCCTGGGGTTGCTGGTCGCTTTCTCGTCTCTATTTCTCTTATCTTCGTTCTCCTCTGTTCCCTCTCTTCGCTCTCCTATTCTCCTTTTTTTTCTCTTTTTATTGCTCTCCTCTTCTTCACTTTTCTCTTCGCTCTCTTTTTGCTCTTTTCTTGGATTTCCTCTT